TCAAATTACACAGGTGAATAAATAAAAAAAAAATTAATATATAATTGTATAGATGAATGGATTTGTGAAAATGTACCATTTGTATACTAATAATTTGTAAATGTTTCACGCGTAATTGCAAAATAAAGTATTATTTTTTTCAATGATTCTTCGAAATGTGAAAAAGACTTTAATTTTGCATTTATATTTTTATAGTCATTTTTATAACGATTTAAATAGACATTCTGCTCACCTCGTTCGATGACACGATGGATTAGTCATGTCTTGACCTGGTGCGCATGCGCAGTGCAAATGTTCTGAACTACGTTGAAGTTTTGTGGAGTCGCACAATAATACAGTGAAAACCGGATAAAAGTTCTCCGTTCTGTACAAAATGAATCCCGTTGGTTTGTAGGAATGTCTCACTGAAACTAAAATCCTTTAGACCGGCTCCAATCTCCAGCCTTTTAAGCGACCGCCAGAATTTGCTTGAGACTGATGATTAGATAAAAGGTAAGCCGTTATATTAAATAACACTAAAGTTAATTTACAGATCTTAATTTTTTTGTGTGTTTGGATCATGTGTTCACGAAAATCAAATGTCTACTTGTCGCTCTCTCATGATGCTTGTATGTATAAACAGTGGCATGCTGCTCTTTGAACCATCTACTTACGCACACAAATCTCATTATCTTCATCTTATCTTTGTAGACCACGCTATAAATTTACTTTACCAAAAAGTACTGTGATTGTTCCATGGTACAGTGATTGCTTGATACTTTGAAGGGAACTAAGCAATGAATACCGCATTCATATACAATGGTATTAATAGTTCTCGGATTCTCATACTACCATGTGTATTTTGTCATGCTTTTGATGACTTGACTATAATTATAAAATGGGGAAAATAATAATAATAAAGATTGAGATGGTATGATGAAATATTTTACTGGAACAGTACGTATAGTCACTAGAGAAGGCAGAGCAGTGATGCAGATGAGATGATCTCCATATCTCACAGTGAGGATGCTTGGCACAGACACCTGCAGGATGAGCTGCTGGTCTCAGGAATCACAGAGGAGGATCAGTGGACGCCGTCTGAAGGCTTGAGCGCGGATCAGTCCAGCTCTCCAAACAATGATCTGGTGAGATTTTAGTCCTTTTTGACTGTAGTTAGTTAGGCTGTGTTCCATTGAAGGCAAATGCGGGAAATTACTGCTTAACATCTTTCACCATAGAAGTGTCCCACTGCTTGACAGAAAAGCTAATTTAATGCAGTTTACACCGTTATTTCTATGGAAGTCCATTTCTGCTGTGGAATAAAACAATATAGGGAATTGTGACTTTTTATCTCACATTCTGACTTTATTTCTCACAATTCTGTCTTTAGATTTAAAATTCACAGAAATAAGTTCTCAGAATTGCATATCTATTGCACAAAATTCCGAAAGCAATTTCAAGTTTCTCACAATTAATGTGTCATAATTCTGACTTTTTTCTTGCAATTCAGAATTTATATCTCTTTTCTGAGAAAAAAAGTCTGAATGACGATATGTTATCTCAATATTTAATATATAAACTTGGCGTTTAAATAAAGTTAGAATTGTGAGATAAAAAGGTCCAATTATCTTATTTTATTTTATTCTGTGAAACAGGAAACAGGTTTCCATGTTTCTGCACCTTTAATCAGATCAGATTTTATCACGTAATCTTCAGCATCATGTGTGACGTTGTTATTTTTATGCTGATATTTTTATGTTGATATTTTTAATGTGCTTTTCCAAAGTGAAAGTAGGATATTCTGACTTTCTGAGTTGAATGAAACAGCAATGGAATGTCATTCATTTTCTTTTGTCTTTTAACAGGAAGCTGAGACACAGCCAGCTTATAAGAATGGTATGAAGTTCAGTGTAGAAGTATTTACAAGTTGTGCTTTCACAGCTCTTGTGATATAGTTGATAATGTCATTTTTTGTTGTTCTAAGTGCCAGGACCATGTGATCCTGAAGACCTCCTGGATGGGGTGATCTTTGGAGCTAAGTATCTTGGATCTACACAATTACAGTCTGAGAAAAATCCCTCCACCAATGCCCGGATGGCTCAGGCGCAGGAAGCTGTGGATCGCATCAAGGTGGAAGAATATTATTTATTTATAAATAAGCAAATTTAACACAATTCTGTCAAGTATAATGACAGGAATCAACAATAAGGATTATATCTGCATGCCCAGTTGAGCCACTGTTATAAATTTAAATAAATAATAATTGAATAATTTAACATGTATAATTTTAAAAGTAAACGAAAGTCCAAAGTAAGTCCAGGTAACCAAAATGACTAACTTAAAGGGGTCATATGATGCTTTTATTTCCACATAGTGAGGTAGATAAGTGGGGGCGTGTTAGAACGAGCCGTTTTAGGGGGGCGTGGCAGAGTCTTAACTTTGATAAAGAATATCTCTTTGGTTTTGAGACTTTAGTCTTTGCAACTTCAGGGATCTTATCTATGCACAATCAGCTTGTAACACTCCAAAGAGAAAGGAAAACTTGAAATCGCATCATATGACCCCTTTAAAATATCCAAAAAGGTTATAAAGGTGTTGTAACATGAATCCATATGAAAATAAAAAAAGTGTTGTCCTAGAGTGCATCTGGTACTCAAAATAAAAAAAACAACCTATGGGGGCACCAGAAGGGAAGTAAAGCACAAACGATTTTAGGTGGATGTTATCATCACGTAAAAAAGACAAAATTCCACATCCAGGCTCTCGTATATTTTCGTATTTACAAATCCTTTATTTGCAGGGCTACATATTAAGAAACATTGTATCTTCCCAAACAGGCCTTCATCTAATAATGCATGCACAATCTCCCATGTTTGATTAAGTCTATATATGTCTGTTTTAATGTGAATGAAAGCCTAAATGAAATCTGTTAATCATATACAGTGTTTATTTCTCTTCAAGAGACTTAAATTAAACTGCTCAGTTCATGCAGATTAATTTAACAATGCCTGTATGACATTTTGGATCTTCAAAGTTTTGGTTACCTGGACTTTAAAGGATTGACAGAAACCACTTTGGTTTCTTAATTTGTGTAATATCTTATTTTTGTGTTTAGAAGATATGAGTCGTATGAGTTTGGAATGATGGTTTTTCATTTTCAACCTGTTAAAAAAGTTTGGCTTGGACCACTAAGGAACAGCCCACACTC